GTGTTCATTGATATTGAGAAATTTCGTTTTGTTGCCTGTCGCAGTGAAGGGCGGGGAGGCGTCGTCAGCAAGCCAACGGACGCATCGCAGCAGTGCAGAAACTGCGCAGGAGACCCACGAAGAGTTGTTTGCTCTCCATTCGACTGGTCGTATAAGGGGAACACCAAAGCAAGGCGAAGGTTAGAGCAAGCACGTCTGCATAGGAATTAACCCCGTGACACTCTGTTGGGGTGGAATGCCGCACAGCGCGAACAACCCTCGAGCGGGTGCAGACACTCGCTAGACACGCTGGCATCCGAGTGAAAGGGGACTTACCCTGGATGTAGTACCCTTTGGTTCAACTGGGTGCCTCCTGGCCCCTCAGCTCGCAAGGAAATCGAGCGGGGAAAGGGGATGGCTCGTTGCCTGGAAAAACACATGTACGAAACCTCAAAACCGTTTATTATGATTTTTGAGGGAAGCTAAATCCGCATTGAGACTCGAAACTATGAGAAGGCCAATTCTGGTTCGGTGTTCTGCAGATAACTGCTGGATACGCTGGGGTAATCCACGGGCCAGTCCCCTGTCCCCCTCTTGCCAGCGTGTCTGGTTGCAGTGTGCACCACCCTTGCGGGCTGTTCTTGATCAGCAGCGCTATGCGGTATTCCTCTCTAACGAATTGATTCACACATCACGAATATTCTCTAGGTCGAATATTCCATGTATTGCCTGCTGTTTCTCACTAAGGATTCTAATACAACAAGGACACTGCAGTGACCCGGCACTACACTGAGCGACTCTGTGCCCTGTTGCAGTGTGGGAGCATTACAATGAGCTAGTCCTCTAAAGTTTCGTTAGAGAGACGAGGGCGTTTATTAGATAGAACATTAAATGCTCCGTTCACTGTTATACCTAGGTCGCTTAGCGGCAATCAGTTAAACCATACTTCCGCACAGCAACCATAAGCCCGAACAACCCGTGGGGATGGTTTAGACGGCAACCAGCCGCAGTGGCATGCTGGGACGGGGGATTACTCCCGGGAGCACTTTGGGAGGCCCAACGGTCGAGTNACCAGCCGCAGTGGCATGCTGGGACGGGGGATTACTCCCGGGAGCACTTTGGGAGGCCCAACGGTCGAGTGACCCAACGAGCACCAGAACTATGCTTCTCACTGTTTTGGTTTGTCCTTGCCAATCCTTCCTAATAAAGGAACGTATATCTACCACTAGCGTGTCCCGTACTCGTACCAGCTGCCGTGTTTGTCTGCGAGCCCAGTTGAGGCACGCCAGTACCAACAGGAGGATAATGGCCTTTTCCCGTTGTAAGAACTCTCCGATAATATATGAATACTGTATTTTTCTCAGAAGGCTTTTTATATTGATACAACTTATAAAATGTTGTAGTGATCTTTATGCGTAGAAGGATACGAAGATCTGGTGTAGGGCATTGGCAACACACAGGTTGTAATGCCCAGGGGTTCACGGGGCAAGGCCCCCCGAGGAAGAAACCCTGCAACGCAAACACCAAATTTTACCAGCTGTAAACAGTTTGGACTCGCGGCGGCCGTGTAGAAATGAAGCCGAGATGGGCTTGAGGCGTCGGTATAGCACTTGAGTCCCAGGGGTTGTACCTCGGAGACCGTAGCGAACAGCGTTTGAACCCTAAGCTACTCTGACTAGATGCACACTCTGCATCTAGCTACCAATACACATGATTCTCGCTGAATCCACTATTAAACACCATAAATAACCAAAACACACTGGATTTCATATTATCTGTCCCCAAAGGAAAGTCCAAAATAGTAGAACTGCTCCCCACCCTCGCTGAGGGTGAGTGCCAGAGTCAGCCTCAGCCTCACACCCAGCCCCCAAGCCGGTGCCGGGTGGTGAGCACTCTGAGCCTATTATGCATCTTTTCTATATAAATGTGTCCTAATTCCTGCGATACTCTATAGTATTTAATAGTTTTCATGATACTAGGCCTCTAGAGGCCACACAGTGGAGCTATTGTAGTGCGTGTGCACAACAGACACGGTTTGTATATCCACGACACTGGGTGACAGGCCAGGAACGTGTTATGATCAACGACTGATAGAATTATAGGCAGGAAAGGAATCGCACAATTTGTAGATCGTAATAAAAGCGAGAGAACAAAGTTCTGGTCTTGTGTGGGACCGTCGCCCGCTTTGTCACTTCCGGACCAACGGGCTCGGTTCCGCACTGCCGAGCTCTGCTGCTGCAGCCAGCCGGCTGCATCCACTACCCAGGTGGCAAACAGGTGGCGTACAGCAATAACCACAGGCGAACGGTCAACATAAATCTCATTGTGAATAATAATATGAAATAATAACTAGGANCAGCAATAACCACAGGCGAACGGTCAACATAAATCTCATTGTGAATAATAATATGAAATAATAACTAGGAAGGGAATGTATGCCTCCCTATTGTAGTGCACCAGCAATGCACAGGCGAAGAAGTAGCTCCAGAAACTAGCATGCCGCGCGAAAGCAGGGAAACGCACACTATGAAGATTGAATACCCGAGACCAACAATTTACTGAACTGCTATTTCCGAAAAAGGGTGAGGAACTTAGTCCTGCTCCTTTGTGGGACATTAGACCATCTGGTCTCCTCGTGATCTCTCGTGGTAGTCCCCTATTCCGGCCGCCGTCTATGGCTGGTTCGGCTGCAGCTACCTGGCGGGTTGAGCCCGCTTGTGGATGCGGTGTGGAGAATCGCTTTAACAGATCTCTGTCGACTGACATTAATATGACGGTGAATGCAAGATTTACCTACCTCGTTAAGCAAGATGCCCTAATAAGAACCAATAACATAAAAAGAAGATGCCAGATAGGCATAACAAATCACTAGTTTCGTAGATAACCCTACCAAGTAATCGTCCGGATGAACTGAAACAGGCGCGAAGGTATGGAGATTATCAATGGAATTTAGTCAAACAAATGCCCAAAGAAGATGAAAAGGCGGAGTTTTGGCGTTTAGCCGGATGCCAGTCCCCTGGGTACGCTGAGAATGCTCCGCGGTCGGTCCTCTGCCCTCAAGGTGTCAGCATGCCCGGCTGCGGTATGCATTCACTTTGCGGATAGCTCCCAGTGAAGGAGCCGTATGATAGTCTGCTATAAGATCCTGTCGTTATCCTGTTACTTCTATCGGAACAGCTCTGGATCGAGTGCTTNCTTCAAAATCAATCTTTACACTAAAAAAATTGAGGCACCTAATACATTGTAGTTCTCACGCACTACACACTCTGTAGGGAACTCTTCTCTCTAACGAAGCAAATTGTATTTTGCTTCGTTAGAGAGAAGAGGTCCTTTGTGGCATAAAACATTCGATTTTGAATTTACCCTTTACACGGGCATCAGTCTGCGGAATCCGTTAGAGCGGATTACCGCGCAACACCCCTCATCAGGAACAACCCCCATAGGGGGTGCAGACGCTACTCAGGTGCATGCCGGGTCCGTGAACTACGTACTGTAGCACCCTGGGCAGGGGATTAGACCTTCACTAGTGGATTGTGTTATTCCGCGCGACTACTTCGCGGAATCACACACGATACTAGTGACCGTCGGGACTATTTCGTTAATTACGTCTGAAGTTTTCGGTTCTGCTTAATGGGACAGCGGGTGTAGAACCTTTGGTCGGCATTTTAGTTGCTTCCTATGTACGTACTTCCTAAAAGTCCTCCTCGCCTGTATAGTCGGTGGTGCCCTGTTGAACCCGAGAACGCCGACCTGTCCAGCGCCCGCCAGCTCAATCCCCCCCCCTGTGGAAGTTGGCTTCTGAATTGACGAAAATAACTGGCGTTTGGCATTTCTTAAGACGTTCGTGTGCCGATTGGCGTTTCGCTAAGCCGTTTATCTCCAATGGTATGTCGGTATCGGTCCCACCTCCGGTTTCTGAGCGTAATAACGACCGTTTTGTCGAAGTCATCAATTTCTACAGTTATTTAGTTTTCCTAAGGGGGGGTTTGCCTCATTAATTCCTAGGCTGTACATTCGGGAGTTCAGAGTAGGCATCTCTCCAGCAAGCGTGGAGGCACGCTGCAGGAAAGAGGCGCTGCGTCGATGGTNAAAAAAAACGCCGTCGTCGGGCTTATTACCATATTAACTTGGGCTTGGCTGGCACCGGCACCTGCACCAGGCATCTCGGCCCTCTGGCTGTGTCTCTGTAAGGGATACAGCCAGAGGCTGCTGTGTCGCTACCAGGTTGGCTACTATCTCTTTAACAGGTTTGCTGCTGTGTGGGTAGGAGGTTTGCTGCTGTGTGGGTAGGAGGTTTGCTGCTGTGTGGGTAGGTGGTTTGCTCCTGTGTGGGTAGGGTGTTTAGGGTTGTGTGGGTAGGAGGTTTGCTGCTGTGTGGGTATGAGGTTTGCTGTGGAGTCGCTAGCTGTTTTGCTGCTGTGTCCCACTAGGCGATTGCGAAGGTTGTCTCACAACTGCAACTCTTCACCCTCTCGAGCTCCACGGAGCAGGTGCCCCATACCCAACCGCATCTAGACTGGCGTGCATGCTTTTCCTCTTCCGTTCGATAGTTCTACACCTTACCGCCAGTCATAAATCTTAGAACACCGCTAAAGCTAACACACACAGATGCCTAACCCGGGATATGCAGCGAGCGGCGGATAGCTGCGGCTATCTGCGGTTCCCTATGGTTAGCCAACGGGGCCAGCTAAGGCGAAAATGGGGCACACATAAGAGCATTCACTACTGCAGCAGCGTTATTTTGGCTAGCCTTCCAAGCAGCACCTACGTTTCCCTTTTAAGCCGAGGCCAGCATGGCGGTCTGCTTCATTTTGGCCCTAGATGCACTTATGCTTGCCTGCACGCTGGCTACTAAATGCCCAGCAAGTGGTCAAAAACAATGAATAACACCTGCCTAATGTATTAGTGCATGCAGCAAATGTGGCAATGTTGCGCTAGCATCTGCGGTTGGCTTGCATCACTAGTTGCAGCGAAGGGCGTTGCAACTCATAAGGGCCTGTCCCTCTGCGCACCAGCGCTCGCCTTTGTACCGCTGTACCCAGGATGCCTGGAGGCTGGACGAAAGGCAGCTGCTTCTTGGAACTCTCTTACGTTAGGCATTTGACTACATTGCAGTTCCCCTTCGTCCTCAGCGAAGCGTGGGGATCCTCGCTACACTCAGTGCCTCTCCACCGCTGTAACGAGAGTTGTCAGTCCTAGCCAAGGAACGTAAGTGTATGGAACTTCAATTAAACCAAAGTACTCATACCAAAAAGCCTATGGCATCCCCTCCAGTCTCCAGGAATCCTCGGCACGCTCGGAGAAGTCCCTTGGACCGGTGCACAGAGGGAGAGGACGCTACATGTCATGAATGCCTGCAGGAGTTGTTTTAACTCCTGCAGCACAGCAACACCACGTGCAAGTCTAACGACAAACCCACCTTTTTATGCATGCACTAATACTGACGCTTTATTGTCCATCACTAATCGACGGCACAAGTACGGGCGCATGTAATGCCAACTTCGGGCAGACAACGCTACAGCTGCCGTAAACACACTCCGCTCGTTCCTTGGCTGTCCATGTGCCCTCATTGTACAGATGTGAGCACTTATATACTGGACGTCATGCAGTAACGTGGGTCGCACGGGATGCAAGGTAACAGGGGCTTAACCAGGGAGCGCGACCAACGCGAGGAACTGCTGCCACTTGACCCTTTAGTTCAACATCATGAGCCACCTGCGCTTCCCAAATATTCGGTATCATGCCCATGACATGAGCACCGTGGTGGTCACTAACGGTTCCGCCACCGTCAACTTCCTGAGCCCCTTGACTATTTTTTTCCTGCCAGACTCCGTTCTATGGACTCCTTCCACTCTCTGGCGTCATCTCTCCACGGTTGATACCCTTTCACCCTGAACTTCGACCTTTCCGCCGGTTCGCACACCAGCGCTAGCTTCAAGCCGATTACGACACGAGGCGGAGGCCGGTCGCCTCTTCTATAGTATCCCAGCGCTGCATCCAGCGCCCGTGCGAGGTGTGAGTTCCATCCACACTTGCCAGCCTTCGAGTATTCTCTCGGAGGAACGTACCGTATGACTTCTGTCCGAGCGGCTATATGAGGCCACCACGCCTCTTTCATTGAGCGGTCCCCTAGTACTTCTGCTATGCAATAGAGCATATCCAAAACAAGAAAAACCGTCCCTAGAGTTTCTGTGGCATACATCGCTTGCCCGCGTCTGTAGGTCACCGCCATTCTTTCCATTGCATATCCACATAGGCGTTCCGCCTCGAATAAAAGTTCACCAACGTCCCCTTCCGTGAGATGCGGCTTCTTCATTAGTCTTCTGCACTTTGAAAGCGAAATATTTGCATTCACCTGGGTTGCGGCAAACGACATTGCCACATTTATGTCAAAATTTCTGCAGTGTGGTGCGTCTTGACTTTCTGGGTAACGGTAAAATGGATGCGTTCTCAGGATGCTATCAGGAACACCTGGAAACAATTCTCCGAGAAACCTGAAAGGTGGAAAGGCGGTTACTTCTTCTAAAAGTTCTGTCCCAGATTCCGACTGAAAATAGCACACCACAACAGCTTTACAAGCGTCTTGAGCATTGGTTCACTTCAGTAGCTTCCAAGCTCGATAGGTATCGACAAGCTAGAGGGACGTCAGGGCCTGCTGCTGCAGTCACACAGCGACAACGACAGGTAGTGTAGAGCACTGTTTTTGTGCTGCCATAGCATACAGCAGCTCTCACCTGTTCAGGGGAATCACGTTCCTCATATAGTGTGACACCCCAACGATGCTGCAGCAAGGCAGGAGTGATTCTGTACGAAGACGGCGAGCTGTCCTCTTCTTGGCCTTTAGCGCTGATAGCCACCCCTGTTTCAGGAACAGCTAGCTCTTCTGCTGTGGCTGCTTGAGGAGACTCCTCCCTCGCCTGCTGGAACCCAGCACAACGCGCAAAAGGCAGGCTGCAACGCGCCCTTTGTCAAAAGAACATCAGAACAAAAACAGTGAACAGGGGAACAAATTCAATGTGTTCTTGCCAGTTACCAATATGGTATCATACCATCAGGTCAGAGGCTCACCGCTGCTGCACTGCCAGAGGGTTCACTGTGCGGAGCTTCGACGGCAGCCGGTGATTCACGTTGCATTTCGTCCCCTGAAGAGCCAGCAAGCGACGTCGTTTCGCTACCTATCTCTTCTTTGGCATATATATGGTCACCTGGAACTATTGATAGCATTGAAGGCAGCACATCCACAATTTTACCAGCGACGTGGCCTGAGCCCCGCCCCTCAGAGTCACCTCCCAACGCCGGAGGCATCGAAGCACTGGGAAGACCCGGTGTGGGGTGCGGTGGCTCGGCATCGCCAATCCAAACGTCTTCGGCGGCGGCATGTTCGGTTC